CCTCCTTTTCCCCCGCCGCCGACCTCGTGGCGGGCTACCAGGTGGAGCTGCAGACCCTCGCGGAGGCGCAGGGGGCGTGGGAGGCGCTCGGCGAGGCGCACGGCATCGTAGGGGGGGGGTTCGACCCCACCCTCATCCCCCGCGCCCGCCAGGGTTGGGAGCAGCTCCTCGCGGCCTATCAAGGGTGGGTCCGCACGCGCGGCGAGGTGGAGGAGACCCGGCAGACCCTCCACACCGCGCTCGAGCTTCTGCGGCAGCTGAAGACGAACCTCCACGCCGAGGAGGACCTCGAAGCGGATCTGAAAAGCCGTTCCGACGTGCACGACAAGAGGATCGCTCAACTCTGGCAGGAGCTCGAGAACTACGGCGTAGCATGGCAGAAGGGGATCAACGCAGCGCTCGCATTACGGGGAACCCTCGAGGGCATGGATACAACCACCCACAAGACGGCGGCGGCCGTGGTGGGAAAAGAATCCGAGGTGGAACGGCTTCAACTCGCGGCGGCCGTCAACGCAGCGGTGGAATCAGCCGCGATCGACACGTTACAGAGGACGCTAGCGGAAGCGTCGGGCGCACTCGAGATTGCGGAGGCAAGGGAATCTACCGCGTCCACTCGCGCCAATCGCGTGGAGGAGCACCGGAACGCGCTTGAAAAGGGCATTGATCGACTGGAGAGTGTCCTATGCGGTACCGAGGAGATATCGGAGGAGGAAGTGGTGACGTTGCGTGATCACGCGCGCGTTGTGGCTGAGGAGCTCACAAATCTGGATGAAATCGGAGATCCAACCGAGATTTCCCCACTGCAACACGGGGCCGCTGTTTTCCACGACGATATCGTTGCACAGGTTTTTGAACGGCTGTTGGAGGGCAGTCAAGGCGCTCTGGATTGCAGCGATGCCTCCGGCGTTGTGCTGTGCGAGCTGCTTATTTCAAAGCTCCCCAATGGGGATCGTCTTGCGTTTGTCAGCCCCGCCGTCTGGCAGCCGGTGGCGGCGTGGTTGACGAAGAAAGCGAGGCGAATGCGCGAGAAAGCGCAGCATCACGAGCGTCTCCTCCTCGACATGAATCAGGAAATCGATCTTCTCTCAAGCGAGCTGAAGGAATGTTAAAGTCACAGCTAAGCGGAGAGGAAACACGCTACGTAAATCTAACAATCGAACGACGGCTATCATTGTCGTTTATCTTCGCCATACTGGATTATTTCCTACTGGACTTCTTTAAAGAAGCTATTCATTTCATTTTTACATTCTAATTTCTCTGCTATTTTATTTCTTTTCAGATACTTACTTCGCTCCTCACCAGAATACATTCTAATAGCATGTATGCCGCTTGGTTTATCTTTTTTTCACCCCAGATTTTATCCGCGGGATGATGCCCACTTATTAGTTTGCATTTTACTGTCACGGTGTGATCGGTTTGTCATGCTCATATGGGTAGAATGCTTCACCACTGCTTCACAGCTCCCCCCTTCCACTCCACTTCTCAGTCTTTTTTACTTGCCTATTTCGCACGCATAACTCTCATTTTAATCTCCTTGTGACACACCCCAGTGTTAGTGATAGCTATCGTATAGTTTACTAATATTTTATTAAGCACTGTGACCCATTGTCCTTTTAGGCTCCAGGGCTGCTTGCTTGTTGTATTATTGATTAATTCTATTTAATTTGCTTACCGGCCACGTATTCGTTTTTTTACTCACCGGTGTGTGACAGACTTCCGTGCGGATGCCGTTTGTTCAGTGCCTCGGTTGTTTTCCCTCGCGGCCGCTCCTCCTCCTCTTTCCTTTCCTCCTCCTCCTGCTTTCGCTTCTTTGTTCACCGGGCGGCGCCTTTGGCGGCTCCCATGACGAGCTTTACCGCGATCTCGGCCTGAAGAGATCCGCCAGTGGGGCGGATATCCGCCGCGCCTTCCGCGCACTCGCGCGGGAATCCCATCCAGATCTGAAAGACGGCCCCGATGAGAAGGAGGCGGCGAAGGTGGCGATGGCGAAGCTCCTGCGTGCGTACGAGGTCCTCTCCGACGAGCGCAAAAGAGAGCTCTACGATCAAACCGGCGTCATCCCGGGCGACCCGCTCAACCCCCGAGGCTACTCCGTGGATGAGATCTTCGACCACTTCCACCAACCCGCGCCGATCTTCTCCAAAAGCCCGACGCTGGAGTCGGTGCAGCTGCTCGAGCGCATCCTCGCCTTCCGCGGCGACCGCTTGTTTCTCTTTCAGGTCTACGACGACGGCTGCAAGGCGTGCCGGACCCTCGCCCCGGTCTGGGAGTCGTTCCAACTCAGCGCGGTCGTGGAGGCGGGGATGGTGGAGATGTATCGCCTCGACGCGGCCTCCGCCGAGGGCGCCACGCTGCTCGCGCGGCTTCGGATGAAGTACCGTGGCTCGCCGATCGTCTTCTCGTACGTGGATGGGGCGCGGTGGGACTTCCACGGTCTCAAGGCCGGGCTCCACTCGGGTAGTCAAAGTGAGCTGCATCGGCGGTTTCAAGATTTCGTGATCGGTTTCTTCCACGCGGCGACGTCCAAGATCCGCGAGATCGGGGATAACGACACGAACGGGCTGCTGGGCTTTCTGAGTGAGCCGCGCTCGGCGGAGCGGCCGATGCGGGTGCTCCTCCCACGGTATCTTTCCTCGGAGCTCATCCCGCTCGCGCTGGGGGGGCGCTATCCGGGGGTTGAAATTTGCCGGACCCCATACAAGTTGATCGCGCGTCTGGTGCAGCACTGCGGGTTGGAGGTCGACGTGCGGAACCGCCTCGGCGAGGAGGTGGCGGTCCCCGCGTTGATGGTCCTCTCGACGGCGGCGTTGCCGCTGCAGGGGAACCGGAGTGATTCGCTCGCGGAGCTGGCGAGCTGCGACGGCGTCCACGTCGGGGCGTCCGTCGCGCTGACGTTCGAAAAGGCCTCCAGTTTCGTGAAGTCTTTCACCCCGCCGCGGCATGCCGGGATGGGCGATGTGCCCTACCTCGATTCGATGAGCTTTTACGAGGTGTGCAAGACAAACTGCATGGTGTGGATTCGACGGAGCTGCTCGACGGAGCCCCATCGGCCCACGGCGGATCCGGACGTGCCAACAATGGTGGAGCTACTCAAGCGCGATTATTACTCCTTCAAAACCGGTTACCTCTGTGCGGACGAGCACCCCCAGCTGTTGGGGCGCTTTCCGGAGCTCGAGAGCTCGCGCGGGCCGGTTCTTTTTGCGCTTTTAGACAGCGACGACGCCGTGCCGTGGTGGCTTTCGGGGCTTTCCGAAACCCCTGCGCGGGAGCTCACCGCGGCGGATGTCGACCGCGCCCTCTCCGCGCTGCTGAGTGGGGGCGAGGAAGGGCCGCGGGGGGCCGTCGCGAGGGCTGGACCGCGCCTCGCCTCGCTTCTCTCACCCACGCGCTTCACGATCTCGACGACGCGCGCCTACCTCCACATGCTCGCGGGCTTTGATGAGACGATCGGGTCTCTTATCAAGAACTTCATGCCCTTCTTGCTGATGTATATCGTGCATACGTGGGTATGGAATCCGATGAACGATCGGGAGGCGGCTGCGGCGAGGGCCCCCCGCGGTGGTGAGCGTCCGGCGGCTAGTGGGGAGAGGAGGGAGAGGAGTTCCAACCGCATTCCGGCCTTTTCCACTGCGGACTTGACGGATGCAAGGGGAGGGAGGGGCTTTCTGATTCTCCTCCTCGACGAGCGCGCAGATCCGGGCGGGGCGATGTCGCCCTCGCACCTGGCGTCGGATGCGCGCTTCACCCTGCGCGTTGTCGGCCCCGACCACATGGAGTGGCGGCAGTGGATGAGGGAGACGCCGGAGGGGGAGGATCGCAGCGAAGCGAACGGGGTGGATCCCGGGTTGACGGTTTTGGCAATTCGAAAGTCGAAAATGAAGGCGGCGAGGAAGCCTCGCGGGCAGAGCCTCGACTCTTTTCTTGGAGATTTACTTGATGGAAGTCTCTCTCCAAGTGAGAATCTCCCCAGCTGGGCGTTTCAATAGAGAATGAAGGAATCTTTTTAGTGAATGTCTTTCGTCTTCAAACTCCAACGCGTGCCACACTGATTACACGGCGTTAACCCCTTGCTAAGGTTGTGTCACAGGCCTCGTCTTTCCGCTTGTGTGGGTGGATGCATATTTTAATTCATTACGTCTCACAATGAATTGGTGTAAGTGACACAGAATCACATGAGAAAATTAAATACTATAACTGTTTTATTATCATCACTGAAAGCGATTGCTTTCTTTATGAGGCTTGGCGTGCATCCTCCATACTTTGTGTCCACGAAATAGAAAGCTTGCAACCGCCTTTAGTTCCAAGGAACGAAAGTGACACTTTTTTTTCTGTATTAGGAATCGAGTTAAAATCATCTTCGCGCCTTGAATATTCGTGGTCGGCACCCGTACGCGTACGAGTTGGCTTTATGGTTGCCCCTGTTTCCTTGCATCATTCGCGAGGATTATTGTGTGTCGTTTGACGTTTGCACGGTTTCTTCCTTTCCTTCTTCCTCTTCTAGATCACTCACAACAAGAGTAATTTTACCTTCTAAACCGATTTATTCACCGCTTACCACTACGTTCGATGTCGAACAACACCGCCAACAGTGCTGATGTAGTTTATGGAAAGCTTGAGGAAATATCAAGAGGTTTACATCAGGGCACGTTGGTGACGATTCCCTCTTACGAGCTCTATAAATTAGCTCGGGAGGAGGAGCTCTCGGCGTATCGTCAACTATGCCGCGTGTTCACGATGCATAATGGTGAGCAACTCACAAAACTTCATCGTCGGATGCTCGAGGATCTCCGCGAGACCCTCGTCATCCCGGAGGATCGTGCAGAACTTGAGCTTCAGGTTTCGGCCAGCGATCCTGTCGTAAAAGGTGTTTTCATGTCTGGCATTCTTAACTCTCGGGAGAATTTCTTTGATGGCGTTGATGACGTCTTGCTCCGTCAGGCGGGTGAGGGCCGTGCGTCAGATGATGGTTGTACCCTCATCTCCTTTTCAAACCGCCCGTCCAAGTTTGCGAGGAAGGAAAACGACTCCACGATGCACGCTGTGCAGTCGAATTTGCATCTGAACGCCGCGAGTTCGGGGGCTGCGGAAGGCGGTGCAGCCTCCGTAAATGGCTCTCGCGCTGTTGCTGCACGCCGGAAACAGATCCTTATGTCTGTTAACAAAGCAGGAAAGGAGGTGCGGCTAGCTGCCAGTAGTCTATTGTATTCTAAGGATCAGGCAGTTCGGAAAAAATGTTTGGAGATTCTCGAAAGTAAGCGAGATACGCTGTTGCAGTTTAAAGAGGAGATCGAGACAATGTAAGATGAATAAGAGGGGGCTTAGCATGCATCATCATAAGAAAGTGCTCAGGGTTCCGATGCGCTCTCTAAAACGACTTTGATCAGTATTTGAAGCGGCAATGGAATTAAAAGCAATAAAAACATCAGCGGTATATGTCAATATCGAGTGAAAATGAATAAAACGAGTTTGGCATGGCCACTGTCAACCTAATCGGATTTGGTATACGCCGAGGTCGGTTCTGCTGTATATGTGCACGTATTCCTTGTTATACGGTAATCCCCCTTAAGGGTGAACCTGCTCTCAACGTCTGAGATGCTACGAGGTGCAGGTTTCCGAAGTGTGAACGCCGCGTTATCCTATCCAAAGGTCTTGCTGCTATGGTTTAGTGCTTAAAAGTATTTTAACCTATTTGAATATAACTATCTTATGCTTTCTCTACAATACAGGAAAGGGGTGTTAAATATGAAGTTCCCTTCCTTAAACCGCTGAGAACTGTATAAGAGATGTTTATCTTATAGTTTATAACGAAAGTATTTATCAGAGAGTTAACTTTAAGCTACCGTATGCAGCTTCTAGTGGATTGCTTGTTTGTCCACGCTCAATACCTGTCTCTTGACTAGTCTTATAGAAAACCATTATATTCACTGGTAATATCACTTTATTTTATCTAATTATATTTGTCTTAGATTCATTTTTTCATTTTTTCTATTGTCTCTAACCTTTCTTTTTTGGTTATTTCTCGCTTTATTGTAGACCTACTTGTATTCTTATGTAAAGTGTACGCTTTCTCCGTATCTTTTCTTCTTATCTCAAAAGCTCTCCACCACTCACCTTCTTCTTTTTATTATTTGTTTTGCCTACAGACTCTTCTAAAAATTCAGATGATAAAAGAGGTCGGGGTGGAATCTTCTTCCATATCAATCTCCTCTTCAACTGCTCTTCTTACGGAGGATTCACGTAATTTTCCTAAAAATAGCTCGCAGTGGACTCTCAATTTCAAATGCAAACAACGGCAATACCATGGGGTGCTTTGGACTATACAATTTATCAAACCGCTTTTCGATGCGGCGTTGGAGCGTGCAGGGAAAGGATTTTCTCTGCCATGGATTGGAGTGAATGCCTCTACAGAAGCTGAAAGGCCACCCATTAGCGAGGTTTACGCGGAGAAGTATGAGAAAGTTTCTATTTCTGAGTGGAATGAAGCATTGTGGAGGAAGTTGGAGGAAGCAGCGCGAATGCTTGAGGGCGCGCCGCGAACTCTCCAGGACTTAGGCCCCATCTCGGCACATCACCTGAATGCGCTTGGATCCGTTATGTTCGTTGACACCGTTGCAGGGTTGCTTTCAAGCGTTCTTTTTTGGTCCTATTGTCTTCCGAAATCCCAGATCGCGTGGGGAAACATCTTTCCAGTGCCGTCTGAGATATGTCGTAAGCTGTGGCCTGATGAAATGTGCTCCCGCTACGTCGATGATCTTCGGAAAAACCGCGCGAAGCGAGTAAGATACTACCGCGATCTCTCCAAAGAAGGCCACCTTTGTGAGGCTGGACTCCATTCGCTTCATGTTTTTGCTGGAAATGAGTTTTCTTCTTCCGAAAAAGGGTTTGATACCGACGCCGGAAAAGCGGCAGCGGCTAAGTGGCGTGCACGGATTGACGCCTACACCCTCTTTCTACCCGATCGCACGCGCTATCATGAGTTGGAGAACTTACCGCAGGAGTTGGCTATTGGTGAACTAGTAGTGGATTGCGTGAGCAAAATACGAAACGCCGGTAGTTTCGATTTCAAGGAAGATTCTTCGGATGCGCGAGAGTCATCGACAAGGGTGTTTCAGACCGAATGCGTCGTTGATGTAGGTGGTGGGAATGGCTTTTTAGCAGCGCAGATGGCGGAAATTCTAGGTTGCCGCGGCCTCGTTGTCGATCCTTTGTATCCTGCGCATTCAGTGGATTGTTGCCCGCGCTTTTGGCCGGATACGACAGATCGCGTTCGCCCTCCCACCCTCCGAACGCAGCCTTTGAATCGTCGTCTCGTCCTTTTTCGGGATACGCAATGGGCGCGGGATATCGAGGTCGACCCCGCGCGCTGCGTTTTCATCGCAAAGCACCTCTGCGGAACCGCCGTTGATGAATGCCTGCGTCATCTTCAGCGGCAGGGCTGCTTTCCTCGGATTCTCATTTTAGTGCCCTGCTGCTTTAACAAAGGGGTTCTGGCGGATTATATCAACCCTGGCTTCCTAGCAGACGTGCTAAACATCCACAATGCGGAGTCTTTTGATCACCTAACACGTCTCACAGACTGGAATGAATCCATTCATCAGCGTGAGGAGGCCAAGGAGACTTCGTCTGGAAAAGGTGTGCGGGGTGGTCGCCGTGGTGGAAAGAAATCAGTTAAGCAGCTTATTCCCTTTACGGGAGTGCTGGCGAATTCGGTGGAGGCCCTACTCAACCAAGGGAGAATGTTATGGTTGCAGGAACACGGATATCAAACCTCTTTGGTGGAGTACGTGCCGAGCATCGTAACGCCGAAAAACAAGTGTATCATTGCCTATCGTGTATGACCGATGCGATTGTGCAGTGGCCTTTATTCCGTTTCTTCAGTAAGTTAAAAATATTATGTGGCTCTGAGCTTTGGTAAAAACTGAACTCTCCTAAGCTCGTTGAATCATGCCTGTGTAAGAGAGTGCATAAGCATTTTCAAATTCATGCAATACCTCAACCCGCATCTAATAATTGGCAATTTTATTTTCTTTTGTGCTTATTTTATCCTCATAACTTCCCACCGAGTACTTTTTGACCTTGCATTGATGTATTCAAACTTCACCTGTCTTTAGTATTTTTTCGTACAGTTTGTCACTTTAGCGCATAAGAGTGGTAGTAACCAAAAACACGTGAAAGATTACTTTCTTTTCCTAACCGTAAGTGAACTTTCCCTTCTCAGATTGTATAGGCTCATTCTCATTATTCCGTGTTTCAAACAAATTAACTTACTTTGAGGGTGGAAGGGGGGGGCAGTATTTTTTTTAGTTCCTGCTTTCCTGTTATTAGTATTCTTTTCCTTTCTGACTGTATCGGGCTTTCGAAGGGTGGTCGTCCGATATCTTTTTCCTCATAACTTCTAATTAGTCACCATGATGCACCCCCCGTTTAATCTTACCAACCGCCACCGGCGGCTGAAGAGCCCGATCCTCCCGGCCATAGGGGTTTTCATCTGCTCCGCCATCCTGCTAGCCCTCGTCCTGATGTTCTACAACGAGCCACTCATCAGCGAGGAGGACGAGATCGCCGTGAGCGCTGTTAACGAAATGCGGCGGCATATGAATGAGTGGGTCGCACCTGAGGTGATAAACCGCAAAATTTCCCTCCGAATGGCCACTCACGATCAGGCGATGGACTTTTATCGCGTGCGAGTGATAATCGTGCTCGATCCGTGGGTTTGGCGTCCAAGCGACGCCGTTTCGAGGGTAAACCTCGACGACGGACCATCCCACGCGCGAGGCTCCTATCGTGAAGAGGTGGAGCGACTCTTCCACTCGCTTTCCGAGGCGAATTACGAAACCCGGCGGTTTCCCGTCGACGTCGAGGTGCGCCTCCTCCATCGCGTGGATCGATCGGGAAAGGAGGCGGCGGGGATCGGCGATTTGATCGGCGCCCTCTCCCGCTTCGCGTGGGTTCACGGGCGGTTGAACGTCGTCGTCGTCCGACAAGAAGGGCCCTCAGTGGTCCCCTCTTCGTCTTCTTCTTCTTCTTTTCACTCCTCTTTAGCGTCGAGGAGCCCTCTCGAGTGGTGGCTTCCCACAAGCGAGTGGGAGGTGGGGGTGCTCGTGGAGCGGCCCGCCGTCTTCGCGCGGGATTGGTTCGTGTGGCTGCAGGCGATGATTCGCCACTACGCGGCGGCACCCTTTGAGGACGTGAACGCGCCGAGGGTGCGGTCGGAGCCTGGGGAGGGCAGCCGCGATCGCGAACCCTCGATTTACGAAGAAATGAACGCCTTCCAGACGAGAACACATATCGGAAACCCAACGTCGATGCACTGGATGGGGGTTTCACTTTCCCACCCCGAGGGCGTCCGTGAGAGCGATCTGCGGATCGCGGAGGAGCTGTGGAATCCCGGTCACCACGCCACGATGGGGAGCGTGCTCATCCAGCGCCCCGGGCGTGATATCACGGCGTTCTTCGCCAAGCCTTGGAAGGCCTACACGGAGTGGTGGCTGCGTGAAAAGAGGGCGCAAGGAAACCGCGAATCACCTCGGGCGTCCGATCTCGAATCCCGTCCGACTGACGTGCGCTTGACGTTCCAGAATAGCATGCTGCAGCGGTATATGATCGAACGTCAGGCCTATTTACTATTTCCCATGCTACCGGGCAATAAGGTCTTAGCGGCCTGCACACGCGGCTGGAATGAACGGGATAAGCAGGGAGACAAGTCGCACGACCCTTCGTTACAACTGGCAGAGAAGGGCGCTCTGGAGTATATTATGCACATTATCGGTGAGCAAAAGAAACCGGAAGTGTTGCTTGATTATTCCTTGCAACGGGTTCGGAGTGAGTTGGATCTTCCTTCACGTGTCCGCTCCTAATTGAGGGGAGGGGCGTAGGGAATGATGTCGAAGAAGAAAGAAATGGAGAGGAAATGCAAGGTCATGTAGCTAATCTCATGGTATTTGAATTTCGTCTTCTGTTCTGGCGTTTGGCAGGCTACGTATGGTTACAAGCCCGTTGTTGCTGCCTTTTCTGTGTTGGTAATCGTATATTACTTAATGAATTCATATATATATATATATATATAGATAGATAGATAGATAGATAGATAGATAGATATGCTGTGGGGAGTTAAATACTTTCCTTATGGTTTCATGAAGATCTAGAAGGGTGTAGACCCATTTTTTCCCTCAGGAGGGAAAGCTTCCTTGCTTCTTTCTTTCGCGTCTACTCTAATCCTAGGCCATTCCTTAGGTGAAAGCACACTTTTATACACACACCATTAGGCCCTTTTTGGTTCCACCGAAACGCTTCTTTATCGAGGTTTCCGCCCATCATGGCGGTTGTAGAACCCATTGTTGGTCATTTACTCTCACAATATTCGGAAACGGTCCTGGAGGGCTTTGAAAAGATTAAAAAGGACGCCGTCCATGATCCTCAGTTTGTCGAGCACTTTGTGAATCACCCGCAGGGTCTGCAGAGTCTGCAGAGCACGCTATGCCGGAGCGAATTTGCGCTCTCGACGCTGCAAACCCTTAATGTTCTGCTCAAAAGCTGTGAGCGGCTTGAAAAAGGTGAGGTTGGATCCTCCTATCAGGCCGGCCATCGCACCCGATTAAATCTTCTCCGCGAGTTCTGCCGTGGGGAGGCGTTTAACGTCGTGAAGCGTGCGCTGTCGACGTTATCCGATCAATCCCTGCCGCTTTGTTTGGCGGCGTTGGAGTTTTTAAGCGAGGCGGTGTTGCACGTCCCGCGGATCGTCCTCGCGCGTTTCCACCACACCGTTCCCTTACATCTCGCGTGTTTTCGCACCCCATTGCCGTACGCCCATCGCCGGGTTCGGGCTCCTCGTCTGCAGGTGTTGCTTCATTTCGTCTCCTCGTCTCCCACGACGGTGTGCACGCACGGTTTGCTCACCAGCCTGATGGAGGACGCGGCGGAGCTCCTGCAGGAGGGCACGGCTGCCGGGCTAGATGCCGGGCGCGCCGCTTTACGCGTTTTTCGTGAGGCCTTCCTCCTTTCCCGCGCGATTTCGAGCGCGGAGAAGCGACGGGTGTTGCTCGGGCAACGCCATCTGCTTCGCCTCCTCGTGCGCGCCCTCGAAGTGCCCGCGATTACGACCGAGGCGGCCACGATCCTCTCCCACCTCGTGTCGGAGTTGTTGGAATCCCCTGCCGATTACGCCCGCAGCCGTGGCGATTCGCTGGAGGAGAAAGGCATGCCGAATTACCTGCTTTTCCTTCTTCTTCGCCAGCTTCGGCCGAAGCAAAGCCCGGCGGCCGCGCGCGTCGTGGTGAGTCTGCTCAGCAAGGCGCCGGAGCTGATTCGGCCGTATTTCTCCCGCGTTTCCGTGCATCTCGCGGAGGACGGCAACGCCCCACGCGTCGCCCCTTCCACCGCGCGCATCGCCACGTTGAACCTCCTCACCCGTCTGATGGGGGCGCCGATGCCGTATTATCTGGCCTCGCACTGCGCGCGCTTCGAGCTCGTCCCGGCGCGGGCGCGCACCTTTTTCACCCTCACCCCACGCGACGTCGCGGATGAGATTTGCCCGCGCTGGGTTGCCGAGTACGTCCATCGCGGGATCAACGGCGCGACGGATGGCCTCGGGCTCGTCTTCGCGATGCAGCTCACCCACGCGGCGCTGCTCCGGGCCCGCGAGGTGCTCCACCACGTCGAGGCGATCCTGCGCGCGGAGGCCCCCTCGTTTGCCCCCCCTGTTTCCCCCGACGACGACGCCCTCCTCTTCGCGGATGAACGACGCACCGACGAGGCCGGGACCTTCGCGGCCGCGGTGCGCGCGAACCTCCTCCTCGCGCTCCCCCGCCGCGAGGAGTTTTGGCATCGCCACACCCAACAACTCCGGCCGTGGCTGCTCGCGGGGTCGGCCGAGCGGGGGGCCCGCATGGTGGGGTTCCTCCTCCCTCGGATGTTTCTCCTCATGCGGCTCTACACGGAGGTGTTCGACCTGCGCGAGGCCTGGGGGGGGGGGGTCCCGGTGAACGTCTTGCCCAGCCTCGGCCGCGGGAACGGGGACGCGGACGGGGCGTTTTCCCACGGCTGGATCGCCCGCGCGTTGCGGGAGGGAAGGGATTGGATGATGGGGTGGGCCCCCGACGCGGTCGCCGCGATGTGCGCGCTTTTCACGAGCGCCCTCGCGCGCGGGGTGGGGATGCCGCGGCTGCATCACATCACGATGAGCCACCCCACCGGCGGGATCACGGAGTGGCCGCTGTTGCTCAGCCTCCTGTTGTGGGTGGTGCACCACCGCGGTGCGGGAGGGGGAGAGGGGGGAAGGGGGAGGGGAGGGGGGAGGGGGGAGGGGGGAGGGGGGAGGGGGCCCCGATTCCCCCCTCAAGCCCCTCGAACCCCCCCTGAACTCGCAGGGAATCGCCGAAGCCGAGCGGAAAATCGTGGGAATCGCGAAAAAGGCGGAATCGGCGCGGGAAATCGCGCTGGCGGTGGGGTGGGTGGCGCGTTTGCTGCAGTGGGTGGTGCACGGCGCGACGGTGCGTTTCGTCTGCGGCTACGCGGAGGCGGTGATGTGGGTGGAGGCCCTCACCCCGCGGAGCCTCCCGGCGCTGTTGCACACCCTCAACGCCCTCCTCCAACGCGGCCGGTCGAAAGCCGGGGATCGCCTCGTGGAGGGGCTCGATCCGACGCATCCGACCTTTCGCGGCGCGATTCTGCCGGCCGTCCGGATGTTTCTCGCGAAGGTGGCCGACGGGGCCGCGAAATCTGGCGAGAAAATCGCCCCTTCGTCGGAAAAAAACGCGAAATCGTTGGAGTTGTGGCGGGAGGACCTTCCTGGGAGCGCGGCCGCGTTGGCGGCGGTCGCGGATGTGGTCGAGGCGCGGTGGTTCGATCGACGCCGCATCGCGGCGGGGTACCTCGTCGCCCTTCGGGACGACCGCAAAAACGCGAAAAAAGAAGCGGCAGGGTCGCTTTCCACGCCCGCTGCTTTCCCCGCGATTGACGCGCGAACCGCACCGCCCCACGCGCAGCTCCGCGCCTTTTGCCTCACCCTTCAACCCCCCTCCAACCTCGAGGAGGAGGAGGAGGAAGAAAACGAAAAGGAAAACGAAATCGAACAAGAAGAAATGGAGGGGTTGGAAGGAAAGGGGTACGCGCTGGCCCGTCGACTTCGCGATGGCGGGGCGTGGCGGGCAGGGGTCTGCTGGCGGCTGGCGGCGCGTCTCCTCGTGGAGCTACGCGCCGCGGGCGGGGCAGAAAACGAAGAAACCGCCAAACGAAACCCCCACGAAAAGGAAAAGGAACCCGAACGAACGAAAACGGAAAGACGGGAGCTTCCAAACGCGCTCGTCGCCGTCGCTGCCGGGATTCTTCGTGAGATCGTTCGGGTGATGGAGGCGGGGAATTCCCTCCGGGTGCTCCGCGCCCTCCCCGATTCCGCCGCCGTTGCCTTTTTCACCCTTCTTCTCGTGGTGTTGCGCGTTCTTCTCCTCGGAGGGGCGTTAAACAAAAGGGGAAAACTCTTCGAAGAGGGGATTTTGGAATCCACGACGCAGCTTCTGCTTGGCAGCTACGCCGCGACGTTGTCGACGATCGATCGCCTGCGCTACGCCGGGCTGCTCGCCCTTCACTACGGCGAGGAAGGAGGGGCTTCCCCTGTCGAGGCCGATCACGGGAATGCCTCCGATGCGGGATCGATTCTCGCCGAGGGGGACGCCCAAGGCGCAGAAACGCGGGAGGCCAAACGGACGGCAAAAGAAAAGCGCGCATCCCGCTCGCGTCGCCCCCAACTCTCCTTTCCAGGGCGTTTCACCGGTGCGCTTCTGCCTTCCGCGATCGTGCGGCATCGCTTTCTGCTTTCGCAGCACAGCCCCGCGCCGTACGTGACGCCGGAGGTGGATATGCTGTCGTTTTTGTTGGAGTCCCTCACCACGGAGGAGATCCCGCGGCTCGCCCTGAGCTGCCCGGCCAGGCTGCAGAATACCCTGCACGACGACGACCCCGCGAACCCCGCGTGGGCGCTCCTCCGCGACGTCTTTCCCGAGCTCAGCGAGCGGGGCGATCTCGAGGTGTTGGATTTCGCGGAGCTTTCCGCCGTGCCCTCGCTCGATCCCCGTTATCTGCTCCCGCTGATTCAAACCGTCACGTCGTTGCCCGGGTGTGGGCGAATCCAAGCCGCGCAGGGCGATCCCGCCCAT